GTTTTTGTGGCACTTTTAAAAACTTTATGCTTCTGTAAATTAAAGGGTACATACAAACTTTCTGTTCTGATAAAATTTACCACAAATTAAGAACATTTATTGACTTTTTATAAACAAAACATTACTTTTCTTACTTCCAGCCTAAATTACTATTATCACGGAGGCCCTTCATTCAGCAATGACCATTTATGATGGAAGAACTTCCATGATGAAATAGAGTGGTCGAAGATTTGGCCTGAGTATTTTTTCACTGCTTACCACATCCCGCTTCCCATCTCAAAACAGCAATGCCTTCACATCCAGTCTCTATGAACCACATTTGTGATTTGGCTGTGATTTGGATGGTACGAACGCCATTGGCAGCAGACAAGACAGCTGTAACCATAATGAAAGTGAAAGGGTGGTTCAGAGTTGTGTGTTTTGTTTTTTTGAAGTGCTGAAAGTATTATTAAAGATACAACAAAAGAGAACGAATGCATCATAATCTCACACTTTGACAAAATATCCAGAGCTCCATAGGCTGACAGAAGAAAGATATTCAGAAAGTCCAGAGGGGTGAAATTACATCCATCATGTAAGGAAGCAGTAAGGATGTAACTGAAAATCTGAAGAAAGGCAAGGACTGAGTGTAAGAGATGTGCATAAGCAGTAACTGGGAGATGCTGCTGTGCAAGTGCTCAAGCAAGAAAGGTGCAAAAGCAAACAAGAAGACAACTGAAAAGTCCAAGAATGCAATTTCATATTATTCTTACTTGCAGAATACGTGGTTAAACAAGCCTCTTATGTAAGGAGTACTTAGGCCTTCTCTCTTTTATCAGAAGGACCACACTGCTTTATAATCATTTAAAAATGCCACATTCAAATGAAATGTATTATAAGGATGAAAAAGTCATTTTTACAGGATATTTATACACCTAGCCAAACATTTTCTCTGTAAAGTCTGAAAGTTCCACAAAAGACCCTAAACATTTTATTGTCTTTAAATGATCAGAAACAGTCAGCAGATTTGATCAACAAGTAACTTTTCCAAAACTCTCTAAATACCAAGCAGAGTTTTTGCCCTAACCTTTATATCCTTTTTTTCCAGAAATATACATAGATGACTGGTCCAAACTAGATTTGATTACTAAAGATGCCAGGATTTACTCAAAAACAGACATCTAGTATTGTGTTTAAATATGGCTGACACGTGTTTTATGGAAATCATAGAATAACCAAGGCTGGAAAAGACCTCTAAGATCATCCAGTCCAGCTGTCCACCTATGATCAATATTTCTCACTAAACCACATCCCTCAGTACAGCATCTAAACATTCCTTGAACGCCTCCAGGTCGGTGACTCCACCACCTCCCTTGGCAGCCAGTTCCAGTGCCTGACTACTAAAAAAATTATCTGGTTTTATAAAGGATTAAGTTGTCTCCAAAGTGTACACAAAGTTACACATTAGAATATGTGTGTTCCTCATTTTATTTCTGAGTTATAAAAAACCCTGCATACCAGATAGCCATAGGACATATGAAGACCTGGCAGTCTGGAACCTTTCTCCTCACTTTTAGGTGAACCATTCCTACTCTTAATTGTTCTTAATTAACCTGTATCTAGAGAAGTTGAAAAATATAAAATACATGAAGTTTGAGCAAAGTCTAGAGAATCGGAGAGATAATGGAAGGCAGAAGATATGGAAAAATGTTATTTTCTACTACTTACTGGTAAAAGTCCTGATAAGGTGGATGTTTGTTTACATTCCTCAGACATCCCCTCTTGTCTAACATTGTGAGTATTCAGTAAACACAAGCAGTGATATGACAGGCACCTATTCAGCTTTCTAATTATGTAAGTACAAATATCTACAATTTGCTTTTCAGCAATTTCTAACAGTAGAATTGAATCTGATAAGAAAGGGAAAAGGTGAATTTTTATATAGTAATTCCCTTAGGAAGCAGGGAAGTAGAATTAAGCAGAAATGTTTGTGATTTTTAAGGCAAACCGACTGTCAATTTGAAAGAAATCTATAAAAACAAGTGATTAATAGAGATGGAAGTGATTTTTCTTTTTCCTCAGAGCAATTAAAACTTTGGGTTTTTGTGTTTGCTTTTTTTGTTGTTGTTTTCTTAGCAGACAGTAAAAAAAAAAAAACAACAACTTTCATATCAAAGATTCTGTTTTCATATAATTGAAATGAATGCATGAGGCAGCTTCTAAGTCAAATCCCGGAATGGATTAAGAGCATTTTTCTAGTCAAAAATGAGGAGAAATGAAACCAGGATCTTGGTGTGCCCTCTTCCCTCTTGTACTGATGGTTCCTTGGCACACTGATATACGTGCACCCACAGCTGCCTACCCCAGTTGGCCCACAATGGCTGCCTTGACACAAAGATTCACTTGGCAGGTGTTTACTTGCATCACCTTCAGGACCCCAGTGAGTTACCTTGACTGAAAGTCAAGCCAAAAAGATTCAGTGTGTGCCCCCTTCAGGTCCTGTTCTGTCTCCTCAGCAGCAAACTACTCCATTCAGATCAAAAATCAATTTAGTTGCAAGGTCATATGGAAATACCTCACAGCACAAAAAACTTAAGTCTCTGTCTTTGTGGAGGTCTTTGGATAAGTAGGCAATTGACCACCTAAAAGCTCTGGCCATACTTCACATGCAAAGAACTTCATGTCCATCTCCTGTACAGTCAGTGCAATCAATCAAACTCAGGACACAGTCTCTGCTGCCACTCCAGCTGTTTTTTTTCTCACTGTGTTTCCTAGTGCAGTTCACTAGTAAACTACAACAATTTGTACTAGAAAATCTTGAATAACAACCTTCCCTTATCTACAGACAAAACAGTTCATATGATCCCAGCAGGGGGAAAAAAAAGAGTTCTGTTATTGAGGATTTTACCATTTGTATTGCTTGTATTGGTTGGAAGCTTGGTTTGCAGGGGGATGGCATTCTTCCTTCCCCCACATCCCTGTTGGTGAGTTGCCTTATTTCTTTATTTCCTAAATAATTCATGAATAACTGTGAGGACTTACGGTACTGCTCAATTATGATGGTTTGTCATAACAGAATCACATAATGCAGCACAGGCAAAGATTTAATTGTATTCTAATTGGAGTCCTCATAGCCTTAAAAACATAAAGCAGAGGAGTTTGTTTCACTTGCAAATGTGGGCTACAGACATAATAAGTGGCCCTGTGATGAGCAATCATCAGGGGGAAGGCCTACCAGATGGCAGACATGAAACAGAAACGTTTTTTATTTCTGCAATCAATAAAAAAAAAAAAAGTGAGCTGGCAATCCTGCATGAAAAACTTTACACAGAACTTTTTCACAGAGATGAGAGACTTTTTCTTGGGACATACCACCTGGGAATTTGTGATCATTGTTCCTACCAACTTGTATAACTTTAACATCCCACCGAGCTGACACTTTGACACTAACAACTGTGCAGGGAGTAAAACAGATTTACAAGTGGCAGTGACCTTTTCATCAAGGGAAGTAAAGTAGACTTGAATCCACCATACCCCCGACTCACAGTCCTGACAACATCATTCAACATACGGTAGGAAAAGCACTTCAGCAAAAGTTTATGAAAGTGACATTGACACAGCACAGTACGATAAATTGATCCCAACACCATGCCATGAGTTTTAAGTAGCATCTCTTTTTCTTTTTTTTCAGAGAGATTAGACATGTTTGCTGCTTAAATAATTTAGTGTCATTTGTTACTCAGAGATGACAAAATGCTGTGGTATCAGCACCTTTTTAGTTATGAACAGGTAATCATTTTGATCACCCTTCTAACTGTAAAAAAAAAAATAAATAAATAAAACAAATAAATAAATGGCTACAATCTATAACTGAATGTTCCTACCATCATTTCTTTCTTATCTTAGAGCCACATACTTCTGCGCTGCATGCACAGGCCTTATTCTCTACCTTGGATCTTGTTACCCTAGCAACTAATAGCCAAGCTGGCATCAAAAAAAAACAGAGGTGGCCTCTCTGATTTTTAAAGGAAATTGACTACTTTAAACCCAGTGAACGCCTGTTTTAATTGCACTGTTCATGGTTGTGAATCTATCTCAGCATTTTTCAAGAGAAAATATCAGTTTAATTCAGCTCTGCAGTTTGCTGCATAGAAGCAGTAAAGCAAAACTTCTCCTGCTGGAAACTTCAAGCATAGATGATTTATTTTTAGGTATCTAAAAGCCAAAAATTAGGTCTGCATTTGCTCATTCAAACTCTTTGTAATTTCTTTATGATATAAAGGCTATGATTTTAAGTTTCTGTAAGAGTAGGAATAGTTTACTTAGAAGCATTGCACAACTACAACTTATAAGGGTACTTCACCTCAAGAAGAAAATTGTTGGACAAATTTATGGTAAAGCAAATTTTCCCTATCGATCAAGCCCTAGAGGGACATTAACAACACTTAAAGGAACAAACTGTAGAAGATGGAATAACTGACACGTATAAAAACTCAACAAGAGAGCCGAGAAGTGCAAGTAGGAAATGGAACACTTTAAAATTACATCCCGGTCATACCAAGGTCCATTGGCCATGTACTCATTCCAGATAATTAATTTACAACACATTAAACCTCTGTGTGAAGAAGGAAGTTATGCATCAGTTGTGTAGGAATATAAAGTGTTATTGATTTAAGATTTCTACTGTATCCTGCAGTGACAGAAAGAAACAATCTAGTTGCATTTTAAAGACAAAAAAACCTTTTCTGAAGGACACGTTTGCTAAATAAGTGCACTTTACACTACATTTAACTGAAGTATTGTTGACATCCTAAAATAAACATTGTTAAGAAAGAAACCTTCAGCATAATTAGGAGATCGTGGCATGACTGGATAGTATTGGCATTCGCTCTAAGAATCAAATGCTTGGAGGTGATAATGCTCTCTTTTACAGTAACAGTTTAAAACAGAAAAACACATTGACAGATATTATTTAATGAATAAAATATGAGTGATCCAATAGCATTAATACACTACAATACCTAGCAAGAGTCATACGCCTTTTCCTCATGGGGGCATTGTGCACGTAACATGTAAGGGAAGGAAATAGTTGCAGACTGGCGAAGTTCTAAGACATGAACATCATGGCCAGTTCCCTTCATAGAGTCTTTTTCTGCAATTAAACGACAATTTTCATATCATAACTCAGAAAATTCAAATTTAAAAGCTGGTTAGCATTTCTCACTGCAGTTCAGCTTCTCAGGACCATGGGGCAATGAGAATGTCTGCCCCGCATTATTCACAGCTTTCAGCAAAGATCTACTAACAAGATCTACTAACAAGATCATTTAAGACTTGCAGTAGTTAGAAAGAGATTTCAATCTGCCTACATGCAATACACTCCCAATTGCAAGAATTCCATTTCAAGTAAGCAATAACAGCAGAGAAAACATAAAGGTATCCATAATTGAACTCAGGCTGAACTACACTGATCTCACAATAGAGAGGGAAGTGTTAACATTCTGGTAGAAAGTTAGATCGTGTCTGGGATTCGGTACAAAATACCCAGAAAGAGGCTGTGAAAGATCTAAAACAAAGCCTAGAATTCTGCAAAGGGAAATTACTCTAGCAATATAGGAACACAGAAAATAAAACATTACAATAGCTAGTCGAAGTACTACAAAACTCTTAGCAAAGTGTAAAATTCTGGACTATAAAAACAGGAGAGTGCACAAATTCTACAAATGAACTCATGCATAGAGGCACGTAATGCGAACGAAAAAGATCCCTAGCATGTAGAAGATTTAAGAATTGCCATTTACAATTTGCTGCAAGAGACTGTGTGTGCTGGCAAGCATACACAGTAAGAGCAAAGTAAATGACAACACAAGATCCTTTTGTAGAAATCTAGCACAAAGCCTCAGGATGTGAAGAAGTGAAAGCCACGAGTAGACAAAAAAATGGCAGCAACAGAGATACCAGAGCTGGAAGTCCACACATCAAGAGGGAAGCAACTCAGGAAAAAACTAATTAATTTTAAAAACTTTTTTTTTCTCCAGTTTTAAGCTTGACTATTTATGAAGAAATGAGTGGTGGTTTCTCTCAATGCTACAGTCAAAACTGAAGTCAAGTGCATTATTCATCATGGGTACTAATAAAAAATTTAATGTCAGTGCTCTCCAAGAGTGAAGGGAGCCTTTGGCCTCAGTCTACATCTGTGAAAAGTTATATATCTTATTTATGGAAAGCTTATGTTAACTGAAACTGTCTATAAACTACTTACTGCCATTCCCAATAGGAATCTGATAAGCATCTTTATCTTACTGCCTCCTGAAACTTCATAATTATTTCTTAACTAAGAATGGTTAATTTACAAAACAAATACAAATGTAAGTAAAATTTGTTGCCTGCACATGCATATTCTGGAGCCTTTGAGACACTGCACTGCATACAGATTAGAGGACACATTTCTATATGATGTCTACCCATCCTTTAACCATTTCTGCTCTCAGACTAGGACTACAAATAACAGAGGAATATCAGGATATTAGCCTAGTTGTGCACTTTCCTGTTGGAACCCTGTATAAAGGTCCTCCAGTTAGGCCAAAGAGCACTTGTAAGTCCATTTTCATACGGGACAATGACCAGATTCCCAAAACATCATATGGGTGACTAGCAGTAAGTTGCAGCTTTTGCTTGGTCTGACAGAGACTTTCCACCAAGAACTGTACCTTTCCCTAATCTTAAACTCACACTGTCCAATCACTGTGACAGAAACAATTACAGCAATTAAAAGCCAGTATTGGCAGTTCCATGGTGGGAAAAATTATCTATACCACATGCAGCTGTACACACAGCAATAAGACAGAAACCCCTGATTAGTCATAAGAACAGAAAGGGCAACCCTTGTGAAAGATCCCTGCATTTTCTTAAAAATATCATTTTCAGTAAAACTGGTGCAGGCTAAAGGGGAATAAAGAGGCCATGTTACAGTAACTGCTGGTCCCAGAGTTGTGACTCTAACTCAACGACACAGGAAACTTACCTCACAGAAGTGTTGCCAGCCCAGGATAGCAACTTCTCAAGTAGGTGAAGCCATCATGCATTCCGCTCTGTGGACACTGAGACATCCACATCCGTTTTCTTCTTTAGCAACCAAATCATTATTCATCCTGAGAGAATATGATTCATTATGTAAGGGACTTTGATTTCAGTTAGATATTTTGCTTAAATCACCTATTTTTCTTCTTAAAAGTTCCAATATTTGGCATTAGAACTTGAAAAATAGCAGGCAACAATAATTATCATTTTTTAAAAGAATTCAAGTAAAATTTAACATCTCTGCATCCCTCTTTAAAACTGCAATGAAATGAGCACTTTTTTTTCTTTCTCATTCTTTAATAAAAATACCTTATGTCTTTTGAGATCTCATCAGTCCATATAAACACATTACAATGTATACGGTACACTACAATGTAGGCTTCATTAAGTATCTGAAATGATGTTTCAGTATTTCCCTGGAACTAACCGTAGCACTGCATTTTGGAAAAACACACATACACAACTCTTCCTTTTCTATCATTTTACAGTGAAAAAAAATATGAAAAATAAAAAGAGCATTCTTAATTCAGGTTATAGGTTCAAATGCACCAACCTTAACTATCTGCAGCTTTAACAGATAAAATGGACAAACGACAGTAAGAAAAGCAAAATAGAGTGATTTCCTGTGGGGATGCTTTAGTCACTACTGGTATCATCAGAAGAAGAGCATAGGCTGCCTTATATATCACCCATCTGACAACACTGCTTCCCCCATCAGTATCAGAGCTGCATGTCACTTAATAGCTTGCTCAATTATGAGAAAGTGTTAATAAGTAACCTGGGCACGTTCACTCTTCACTAAATTATAATCAAGACTTGATTCTAGATTTTCTGATTGTTTTTCTCACACGACATGTCAAACAGAGATTTCATTTTTTGTACACCTGTATGGATAATTACACTACTATGCTATTCCTGTTACTATCACATTTAAAGATCTGTTCTTCTTTTCTTTAACTTGTAAATCAAGATACAGTCTCACAGAACATTTTGTTCTTATGAAGTCCTTTTTGCCAATAATTATCAGCCTAATAAGAATTTGGAGATTTCCTTGGCAAACATGATAGCGTGTCAAAGAAGGTACTGATCAGCAACACCCAGACACAAATCGCTTACCTGCTGTTAGGGGTCGTGTTAGCTCCCTCATGCTTGCGCACCTTCATTTGCTATATGCTATGGTAACCACTGCACATCTCACATCATAAGCTTCCACCACACCAAGCTGACTCACAGCAGCTGGACAATTGCATGTACCCTACAAGAAAAAAGTTCAGTAAAGAAACCTGGTCCAGGGAAACAGAGTGAGAGACCCAAGCTGTTAGTCAGGGAAGAGAATATACAACTATGGAAAAATATATATATGAGGCTTAATTATGGTTAAGAACAGTCTTAATGAACATGAAAGTTGTAATTTCAGTTAAATATAACAATGTTTTATTTCTGCTTATTCCCCAAAGTGTTTTCTTTCCCCACTTTTCACTGAGAACAAAAAATACCTATGTTACAATGTTAGGATTTTTATGTGATTAAACTTCACTTTTACTATCCTTTACTGAGTGTTTCTTGTCACACTCACTGTCATGGATCATGAGCATCTGAGTCATCAGACCAGGGACATTACTAATGTGCTGCTGTATCTGTCCTATAGGTACATATTTATATGTAAATGGTGTATCTTTGAATGAATACCTGTTAGTGAGCGCATCACAAAAGAATAGGACTATTTTTATATTCCTGGCAATAAGTATCTTGCAGTACTTTGAAAAAACACTTCTCTGAAAGAGTTTTGTGTACAGTAACTGCAGCAAACTTTAAAATCAAACCGTACCAAGAATGTAAAGTGAAAGCAGATAATAGGCATTGGTTTCTTTCTTTCTTTCTTTCTTTCTTTTTTTTTTTTTTTTAACTATTCATCCATACTTACCATGTCCCTCTCTAGAATCCATGGATCATTATTCTTTGTAGCTCTTTTTTCTTCAGTGTAAGACTATGGGATGAAGTCCACATTCTGAAATTACACACAAATATGTTATAAAAAATGGAGTGTTTGAAATCAATTCTAATGTTAAATGCAAAGGACATTCTGGGCTCATTAAGTAAAAATATCTCATTTAATGAGCAGGAAAGCACTGGAGCACACTGAACCCTGACACAAAGCAAATTATTTAAGTGATAAATTATATTTTATGGGGAATGTAAAAGTTAATAATACTCAGGGGTAAGGTAATAAATGCAGAGGTGTAACTAACTTCATTGACTGCTTTACTTACAAACATGCCATATGTACCTGGCTACTTGAAATAGCAATAAAAAGAATTGGCAAACTCACAGAACCAAAGATTCATATGGAGACCTTTGTAGCATTCTTTTCCAGTAGTCAATCTGCGTTTTATTCTTTTCAAACTCATTATTCTCCTCCCTCTCTCACTTTAGGATATATACCTCCGGTCTTTGCTTTTCACTTTCTGTCAAATATTTGATCTTGCATTCATTAAAACTGAAACCTTCTTATCTACCAGAGAGGCTAATAAAATGAGTGCTCATTTACCTGAAATGATGCCCTAGAAGTGACCTGAAACTTTACTTGAAGAGAACCAATCTATGCTGAAAGAAAACAGTGGATCAACTGTTAATCCTCTGCCTTTCCAGTACATACAAGTTCAGTGGATGAATCTCCTAAAGTTATTGTTCAGTGAGATCAGTGCAGCAGATGAACTCACTGAGGATACACATGCATAAGCCTGTGCAGTAGAATAAGAGTCTCTACTACAAACACAATTATCAGAGCGAAAACTCTTTCACTATATTTTTAATTGTGCAAAGGTATATATCAAGTAGAAATCAATTCAGGAAGAGTATCAAAATTATTTCCTATTACTATTTCCTCAACCTTAGAAATGAAATTTGTGTTACTGTCTCTATACTCTTTCCAACTTCATTTATATATTTACATTTCCAAGCCAACAGCTAGTGTTTTAATCTCATGGATGCATCCAGGAAGTGAATATGAAGCCAATGCACTGGATTTGTACAGTTTGTATATGTATAGGA